AAAAAAAGATAAATCATTTCTTTAAACTATCGACCAAGACAAATAATTTATTATACCACCAAAGCTTATTATGCCATCTAGTCTTGTTTGTAAGGAAAGGTAGATATGTGATGATATTATATGTTAAATAATAAATTATTTATTTTGATTGATAATTTTAAAAAATAATTTATCCCTCCATCTATTTAAGATGAATTTATTTTTACTCTAGTATTTAAAAATTAATTATAATTATAAGTTATCATGTGATAATGTTACACATTAAATAAAATTATTTATTCCTACATTCCTTTTAGGAGACGAATCTGTTACTCACCCCTTATTTTAGGAGCACATTTGGGGTTTTGCATTCTAAATGATTCTCCCATTTTAACTATTATGTGAGGTACGGAAGAATTTGGGAAAATAGAGATATTTGTCTATCATCAAACGTATAAAAAATAAAAATAAAAAGGGTCCTATAAGAGGTGACGTGGTTGAGTCTGTTTATTTGTACTAGCAAAGAGCGCAGAGAGCAAGTGAGTCGAGAGAGGCCGGTCGGTGAGACAGAATGGGAGGCTGGGCTATTGCAGTGCATGGTGGCGCTGGTGTGGACCGCAATCTCCCTGCACACAGACAGGAGGAGGCCAAGAAACTCCTCACCCACTGTCTCGAAATCGGTATCTCTGCTCTGTTATAGATTTTAATTAAAATTTTATAGTGCCAGTCAGTTACAAATTTATTGAGTTTCAAAAATTAAATTTGTGTAGAACTCATCAGTTGCAAATCCATGCATTTGTAGTTTTCAAGAAAGAATCCATAGGTTTGTATTTTAATCAAATGGTAACAGAAATTTTTTTTTTTAAACTTGCATCAGTTTTCGGTTTCTTGGAATCCATGTAATAATTTTTATTATTGCATACAGCTTCATCAATTTCAAATTTTGGTCCTTGTAACCGACAAATTTCTTTCAAATTTTAACTGGTTTTCTACTTCTGTTACAAATTGGAAAGGCCTATAAAAAGGTAGCCTCAATGTCTACCAAAGGATGATACAATTTTTTTTCTTTAATCTGCACTTTTATTTCACAAACACAATATACGAACTCTTTTTGAGTAAGGAAAAGGTGATGGCATAGAGTTTTCTTTACAAGAGTGCAGTAGTTGTAAAGATATAATGAGGAAAAGGTTGGGCTGTTGTATCTTGGGAATGACATGACCATAAAGAAAACTGCTACACTAGTGGCACAAAACGTCCTAAAGAGACTGATTGATCCACACCTTAGCTCAAGCTCCTCTTGCTTGTGATGCATCATCTTTTGGAACTCCTTCCATGAAGGCGGTAGCTTATCAATAATGGCTACAACTTCAAGGTTGTCATTAATTCGTATGCCTTTAGACCGGAACTCATGAGCAAGCATTTGTAACTCTCAAATTTGTGACACCACTAACTTGTCATCCACATTTGGAAGAACAACCATCGGCTACTAGCATACATCTTCGCACTAGCCTCCTCAATGTCATATTTTTTCTACAAAGCATCCCAAGTTTCCTTGGCAGTGGAGTAAGTTCTTTCATAGTAATCATAAAGCTCATCAAAAAGGCAATTAAGTAAAGAGTTGCGGCACCTATATTCATCTTTCTCCCACTTTTGGACTTTCTTCTTATGAGATTTCTTTTCCTCGACACTCATACCTTCAGTTGACAAATTAATAGGATTTTCCTCATTAAGGACATATGCCAAATTTGAAAGAAATTTGTCAGTTACAAGGATCAAACTTTGAAATTGATGAAGTTGTATGCAATAATGAACATTATTACTTGGACTTCAAGAAACCGAAAACTGATGCAAGTTAAAAAAAAAAAAAAAATTGTTACCATTTGATTAAAATACAAACCTATGGATTCTTTCTTGAAAACTACAAACACATGGATATTATATTTCATAAAGATAAATTTCCTTTTAAACTTAAGAAGGATGGAAGTCATGATTTTACAAAGCAAAATGATTTTGAACCTAGTTCCTCAATTTCATCTCATTTTCAAAACCAAGAGAACATGGATTTTGAACCTAGGAGAAGTAAAAGAAAACGTAAAGAAAGAGATTTAGGTTCCGATTATTATGTATATAATGTAGATGGAGAACCATTGTCTTTTCAAGAAACTTTAACTTCTTCTGATTTTGATTTTTGGAAAAAAGCTGTTAATGATAAAATGGATTCCTTGATTTCTAATAAAACTTGGAAGTTAGTAGATTTACCTCTTGATTGTAAAACAATAGGTTGTAAATGGATTTTGAGGAAAAAACTTAAACCGAATGGAACCATAGATAAATATAAAGCAAGACTTGTTGCAAAAGGTTTCAAACAAAAGGAGGAACTAGACTTTTTCGATACTTTTTCACCTATAACAAGAGTGACTTCCATTAGAGTACTTATAGCTGTAGCCGCCATTCATAACATGTTCATCCATCAAATGGATGTTAAAACGGCATTTTTAAATGGAGACTTGCATGAAGAGATCTACATGGATCAACCTGAAGGTTTTGTTATACCTAGCCAAGAGGACAAGGTATGTAAATTGACTAAATCTCTTTATGGTTTGAAACAAGCTCCAAAACAATGGCATGAGAAATTTGGTACTTGCTTAATAGAAAATGGTTTTAAATCACGTAAAAGTGATAAATGCATATTTTTGGATTTTTCAATAATTTTCATGTTATTATATGTTTGTATGTTGATGATCTCTTGATTTTTGGTTCAAATTTAGGGGTGATCAACACTACTAAGTCATTGTTAAATAAGCATTTTGACATGAAGGATTTGGGTGAGGCTAATGTAATTCTTGGCATGAAAATAACTAGAAATTAGGATGGAATCTTTCTTGATCAATGCCATTATATAGAAAAAACTTTGAAGAAATATAATTATCATAATTCTAGACATGTTATGACGCCTTTATCAACCAGTGTGCATTTGTATCCCACTTTGCATGATAAAGATATTCCCAATCAAAAGGAATATGCCAGCATCATTGGTAATTTATGATATCTTATTAATTGCATAAGACCTAATATTTCTTAAGTAGTTGGAATTCTAGGGAGATTTACTAGCAAGCCTAATTTCTTTCATTGGGATTGTGTTAAACACCTAATGGGATATTTATGTGCTACCAAAAATTATGGTTGATTTTATCAAAAATACCCTGCTATACTTGAAGGATTTTGTGATGCTAATTGGAATACCTTGTTAGGTGATTCTTTATCTATTTTAGGGTATGTTTTTAAGATTGGCAGTAGTGTTGTGAGTTGAAAATTTAAAAAACAACAAATAATTGCAAAGTCAACTATGAAGGCAAAGATGATATCATTAGCACTAGCTTCTGAAGAAGCTAGTTGGCTAAGAGGTTTGTTGTTTGAAATTCCTCTATGAAAAAAACCAGTGCCTCCTATACTCATTCACTATGATAGTACTGCTGTCATTTACAAGGTGAATAACTGTTATTATAACGGTAAATCCAGATTTATTCGAAGGAAACATAATATTGTGAGGTCTTACTGGGATAATGGGACAATCCACGTGGATTATATACCATCAAGTGAAAATATTGCTGATCCATTTACAAAAGCTCTGGCCAGAGAGAAAATCTGGATTACATCAAGGGGAATGGGATTGAAGCCCAAAGAACGTGAAACTTCCTATAAGGATACCTAACCCAATTCTTGAGAATTGAGTTTTGAATGGGAAAAACGAATCATAAAGAGGTCATTGTTGAAAGATGCATGAAAATAAATAAATAAATAAATTCTCATTCCTAAGGTGTATATGCATCTATCCCATAACGTATGTAAGGGTTGAGTGTTATACACTCTTAATGAAATTTGTAACTCATTGAGTGGGGTGTCTTAATTATGGAAGCACCCTTGATAAATTTCACATATATGGATGTTGGAGTGGAGCCACTCCTATGAGAAGAGGGCTATTCTCTAGATCATCCACGAATACCAGGATTAGGCACAAAGGCCATAATGTGCCGACTTACCAAACTCAAATTAACACCTAGATTATAATGTATGTAATATGGTCTCCTATATCCTCTAAGTAGTTTTAGTTCAAGACTTTGCTTACTAGTGACTTTGGGATAAGAATCATTAACTCACTAAGTAGAGGTTCAAGGCATTGCTACCTCTATTATGCATGGTAATCCATCCTTGCTTACATATTTTTCATTTTTTAAATTTCTTTCACTTTTAATTAAAATGGAGGGGGAATGTTATAGATTTTAATTAAAAATTTATTGTACCAATCGATTACAAATTTTTTGGTTTCAAAAATTAAATTTTTGTAGATCTCATCAGTTGCAAATCCGAGCCGTTTGTAGTTTTCAAAAAAGAATCCATAAAGTTTGTATTTTAATCAAATGATAATAAAATCTTTTTTTAAAAACTTGCATCAGTTTTTAGTTTCTTGGAATCCATGTAATTATTTTCATTATTGCATACAGCTTTATCAATTTCAAAATTTGGCCTTTGTAACCAACAAATTTCTTTCAAATTTTAACTAGTTTTCTACTTCAGTTACAAATTAGAAAGGCCTATAAAAAGACAGCCTCCATGTCTACCAAAGGATGATACAATTTTTTTTTTTAATCTACACTTTTATCTCACAAACACAATATACAAACTCTCTTTGAGCAAGGAAAAGATGGGTAGAGTTTTTTTTACAAAAATGCCATATTTGTAAAGATACAATGAGAAAAAAGTTAAATTATTATATGATAAGGGTAACACGAACATAAAAAAAATTGTTACATTAGTGACATGAAACATTTTAAAAGAGAGTGGTTGATCCACGCTCTAAGTCAAGCTCCTCATATTTTTTTTGTGACATCTTTTTACTTTTTCATTTTTAATTAATTGTTTTTGCTAGTCTTGTCTATTTTTTTCTACTTATTTTACGAGGAGCAACATGCTTTCCGTTCTAATCTCCCTGCCATTGATATTGTTGAACTCGTTGTACGTTAATCTCTTCGTCTGTGTCTCTATTACCTTCGTCCCCTGCTTTTTCTCCTCAAAAGACAAGTACTTAATTCCTACTTTTTTCCTTAAAAATAACAGACGTGGTAGTTTCTGACCAAAAAGGACGCAAAATACTTTCGCCTTTAAGAATGTAGCAATTGTTTTACGGGGTTTGGCTATGCAGGTGAGAGAACTGGAATCGGATCCTCTGTTCAATTCCGGCCGTGGATCTGCGCTCACGGCCAAAGGAACGGAGGAGATGGAGGCAAGCATTTTGGACGGAAACAAGAGAATGTGCAGCGCCGTATCCGGCGTAACCACCGTGAAGAACCCCATCTCTCTTTCCCGTCTCGTGATGGAAAAATCTCCGCATTCCTACCTGGCCTTCTCCGGCGGGGAAGATTTCGGCTGGGGAACAGGTTGATTTAACTATTTTACCCTCACCGCGCCACTCACAAATTCCAATGTTTAATTCGCCAGCAAACCATTTCTTCCCGTCACGTGTACAAGATTGTCTGAAAATTTTAAACCAAGTGTTTGATTAAAGTGACACGTGCGTGACATGCTTGGATTTTGTACAGCGCGTTGAAACGGTGGAGAACCAGTATTTATTTTTATTTATTTATTTTTTGAACAAGTAGATGGTTAGGAAGTTAGTAGAGTTAGTTTGTTAATAGTTGGAATTTTTTCAGGAAAGTGAAACTTCTACCCTCTCATTTGAGGCGCGCGACCATTAGGTTGTAAGTTGGTAGAGTTCACGGCCGTAGCAGAGCTCGAAGTCCTGACCTCCGCCTCACCCAAACCCTAAAGCTTGAGGGCCAACCAATTAAACCACAGGTCCGGTTGACAAGAACCAGTATTTTATTAGTGAAGAAAATGTGGGAATATATATATTTATTAATCTCTTTATATTTAATAATTATATTAAATTTTAATTAATTTAAAATTAAATTACATTAAAACTTATTAATAAAAGCTTTCCTAACCCATGTTTCTTATATATAAAATTTAAATTTAAAATTTTATTTAAAAAAAAAAAAACGAATTCTATTCATCGTTTGTTGACGTGGGATGCTAAAATTAACCAAGGAAGCAAACTCCATCCTGGTACGTTAGATTTCCATCCAACGGTTATTATTTTGATGCCACGGAACTCGGCAGTGAAGACTTAACTTTCCACTTACATTTGACCAGTTTGATCATCGCATCCCAAACCCAATTCCTGCAGCGCCTGCGCCGCCGCTAAGGACAGCCAACCGCAGATGAACGGCCTCCCCATCAGCTTATACGAGCCAGAGACAGTTGGGTGCGTGGTGGTCGACAGCGAAGGACGGTGCGCGGCGGCAACGTCCACCGGTGGGCTGATGAACAAGATGACTGGAAGGATTGGCGACTCGCCAATCATAGGTGCCGGCACCTACTCGTGTGATTTGTGTGGAGTATCATGCACTGGAGAGGGTGAGGCGATTATACGCAGGACCCTGGCGCGGGAAGTGGCGGCGGTGATGGAGTACAAAGGTTTGAACCTCCAACAGGAGGTGGATTTCGTGATAAAAGAGAAGCTGGACCAAGGGTTTGCGGGGCTTATTGCGGGGTCGAAGAATGGGTAGGCGGCTTGTGGGTTTAATACAAATGGGATTTTCAGAGGTTGTGCGACTGAGAATGGGTTCATGGAGGTCAGAATCTGGAATTAGACATTTATCACGTAGGAAAAAAATTATCAGTAGTATTTCCTACTTAGTAGTTAAGTAGTAATTGTTTTTATAATGTGTTTGGGTTTAAAAAGTAGAAAGGAAGGAAGAAGAAGATTTTTCTATCAATTAAATCATAATGTAGATATTATTATTTAGTTAGTCAACAAAAAGTTTTTTTTTTTTTTTTCTATTCTAAACATATTAATAAAAATAAAAAATTTTGAGTTTGCAGCTCATGTCGGTGGATTATGGGAGTTCTACAGTGTTTGATCAGAGTTTGATGTTCAGCTTGTGTTGTACTTGTTTGTTACACATTCAAGGTGAGTAAAGCAGCCTGTATTAGAAATGGAAAATAATAAAATAAGACTTTCTAATTCTGTTTTTTGTTTTTGATTACCCCTTTGTTCCTTTTGCATCAATTTTCATTGACGCTCCTACAAAATGCTCATAGCTATCAATTTATCAACGTTTAGGAGTAATTTGCTAAAATTCCAAATTGTGCAATAAGGCAGACATGTATTCGAAATTTCGAATGTTTTCTCCAATACTCTGATCAAAACAAACACAGAAATGGATAGCAAATCATTTAGTTAGGAAAACGACATATGATGATTTGATATTGAAGTTCTGGATTTGAGGTCAGACAGATCCTAAACCCCTAACATAGACAAGGACGAAGTAAACATGTATATATTTCACATTTTTGTTGTGAATTATTTGTTGCTGTCATGGATGCTGCCTGAAATGGCATCCTTTGCTGACTTCAAGGCTTTTGCGGCAGCATCAGCTGGACCTGCCAAGACACCACCTGCAGTTGTGGCAGACTTCCCCCTTTCATGAGTCAAGTGAACCACCCCTACCTTCTCCTTTCTGGGCTCTTCATCCTCCTTTCCAGGTGGTGACTTGTAATCTACGGTGTCCACCCTGGTTTCAATTGCTCCTCCTTCATTTATCCCTTCAGTTCCCTGCAAAAGTGGATGGAATCAGATCCTTAGACTTAAGAAATTGCAGCAACTAGCAAACAAAGATCTCCAGAAAGTCAAAAACTTGAAATACATGTGTGTTCATGTTGCCAGTTTCAGATACTTCAATCTTAGGCAGCAACACCAACTTGGATATTGACTCCTTGATCCTTTGATATCAAGAACCATAAGAAACGATTACAAATATACCATGGATCATCTGGTTTTGCAGCAAGTGAAAAGAGACACGTCTGCTATGCGGTGGCACAAAGGTACCATCTACACGTGCCCTGTTTCTTACTCAAGCACTTCTTTTTTTTTTTTTTTTAATAGAAAAAAATTGTTAATTAAGTGTTAATATCTGTTACTGTTAGAAAGAATCGAACCTTAAAATTGGGTGCATTGGGTGCATTCCACTTGCTGCTCAATGAACAACGTGACCATTACTAAGCCACATGAAAAATTGCAAGCACTTAAGCAGGATATACACGAACTGGAGATAAAATGATAACACTGTTCATGCAGAATCACCATGGGAGTAAATCAAGGATGTGCAAGATGTGCATTGCAATACCACAAGCTCCTAACCTCCGTTTTGAAAGTTTTTAGATCATTTAGTAAACACGGGCACAGCACCGAAGTATACAGGAGACAGTTTATATATCAAAAGCGAACAATTTTGAACGACGAACCTGTAGTTTTTTAAGTAAATTCCCAAAAAGGTAACCAGCAGTTTTATAAAATCTACAAAAACAAGCTACAGATTGATTCCGCAAGACAACGTGATATCTAAGAAATGATAAACCTTCAACTTAGAAAAACAACAGAAATAAGTATAAAATTTGCGTGAGTCCAAGTACTGTTGTTGATTGATTACTTTATAACTTCAGGAAAACAAATTCTTCGATGGCTGGGATTTCTCCAATTTTCTTCAGTGTGTCCTTGCTGGGTTCTTCATCCACTCCAATGGTCATTACAGCATGTTTCCGTGGGGCAATCCTTCCAACACTCATGAAATTCACATTTACATTTTCATCACCTAGTATACTTCCCACCTTTCCAATCATACCTGGTTGATCAACCTGCCTGCAGAGGATGAGGCTGCCTTCCAGACTTACATCAACACTGAAGGATCCCACCTTTGTCAAATGGGGTTTCCCATCTTTCACTCTTCCCTCCACTGTTATCTCACCTGAGTCACAAATCGCACTACCAAACTTAGATTCCACGTTTGCAATTTGAACCTGGATAGACTCAAGTGGATTTTCAGGTGACCCATCCAGAACTACACGCTCTTCTGTTAACCTAAGTCCCCTCTGTTTAGCAGTGAAGTCAGCATTCACCAAGTTCACAAAAACATTGGAAATAGGTTCAATAAGACCCTTGGTAATCATAGCTCGAAGAACCCGGGTGTCAAGATCATCAGGACTTCTGGCAGAAGCATAGGTCACCTTCACAGACTTCACACCACTTCCACCAGCAACCAATTGAACGGCCAGTCTGGAAAGCTTCTCAGCTAGCGCAACAAAAGGAGAAAGTTCTGATAGAACCTGTGAGCATGTAAACATCAATAGTTAAAATACACTTTCTTGTCAAGAGCTAAGATTGCGATCAGACCCATAACTAAATTGTAGAAGAAAACAGGTAGAAAAAGAGTGGAGTTGGCACATAAGGGCTTTAAACTGAGCACAATCAATTTAGTTCTTTTGACTCCACTGTACTGCCCAACAATCTTTAAAGAGTTAGAAAATCAATCCCACTTAATTTCTCAAAAAATACCCAACAACTGTAAATCTAAGGCCCAAGTTAAAAGATCCAAATTCAGGCCTCTTCAATTCTTCACAAGAATCACAACCCTACTCCAATATTTCCCCTCCATTCAGCTCCTACCCCCTTGCTTCACTGAAAACGTGCATTATGGTTCCTCCACCACTTCATGCCTCTTCTGCAATTTGCCTATATAAATCCTACTAAAATACTTTCCCTAGAATTATTTGGTGGGGAAGCTATGGATGATCCATGAGTCACCGTTAATGTCTTAATCAGGGACACGTCACACACAAAAATACGTTTGAAGCTTGCACACATTTGGAGAACTAGAATGGAAAAGGTTAGCGTTAATGTTTCTCACCAAATGAGGACTACAGTTCAACATTCTTGGATTGTCCATCAGAGAACATGATAAGTAGTTTACACAAAATAATTCCTTAATGGTATAGATATATAGACTCGAGTGTCTGGCTTTGAGTAGCCATTCATCCTAGATTCAAGTATCAGCGTCAGTTATATTACTTCTTCCTTCTCATGAACTCAGGAATTTTTGTACCCCCTTCACCAGATCTCAATGCTCAATTAGTCAATTATTCAGTGTAAGTTCTTGAAACTAAATATGGTTGATAGTGTACCATACTACAATATAAATATAACCCTATAAACATACAATTCACAAACTCAAATTCCATCTTCTGTGGTCTTTTGTTGATTTCAGTATGGATTCATTTTAGCTTTCCATTTTTTGGATCTTCTTGAACTGATGACAGATGTCCCTATAAATTTATTTGCTCCTTTAGAATTCCAAATATAATTAAAGATCCAAAATGATTTTAAATTTCACTATGTTGGTAATTGCTATAAATTCTAAGCAATTTTCCAAATTTGATTATTCATAGATGTTATTTATATGTAGCTAATAGGGTATACATCCATAAGATCCAAAATCATTCATACTGTTTTACTAAGGCTATTATTTACATAAATGTAGGGGTGTGTGGGCACATTTTTAATTAAGCAATTGAAGTTCAGTAATGTAGTTCTATGTTGTCATGAAGCATGATCTTATTTCTAAGATGACTCTTTGGTAATTTAAGATCAATTGAAAAATCTAATTGGAGAGCATATATGATAATGTTCAGTTGGTCTATAATTTGCTTAAAATTTCTTGACAAATTATCATTGCTGTTGTACTTCCTATGAACAACGTATGAAACTTGAGTCATTTGATCTTCATAATTAAGTGTCAAGGTAAGTTGCCAAAAAGAATTGCCAGACCATGACTACATTAGTGGCTCCTTTTTAAGTGTTTTCTAGAGAAAGGACCAAGCCATCTAGATTGTAAGTGTATGACTCTTTGAAAATTGATTGTTAAGAAATTGTCATCAGTGCAGGATTAAGCTATGTAGGTATTTTTGTTTGTATTTTGAATGATTTTTTCATTTTTTACCATTCATCTACAAACAGGCCATTAACCAAATTGTCACCATAAATAAGATCACAAGCGGGAAAAAAAAGAATGATATTCAAACTTTAGATGATACCTCAGCAGGAACCATGGGTGCATTAACAGCAGTAGCAGCAAGCTCCCCTTTCAAAGCCCCAACAACAGCTTCAGCTATTTCAACAGCCACACCTTCCTGAATAGGACAACACAGCACCATAGGGCAAAATAACAACTAGTACGTAAAAGATAAAGAATAGAGATTCAAATATAAGTTCCAACATGACGCAAACCTGAGCCTCTGTGGTACTGGCACCAAGATGAGGAGTTACAGTTGCTTTTTCATGCTGTACCAATACACTGTCTTTTGGTGGTGGCTCTTCAGTGAACACATCAAGTGCAGCCTGAAAAAATTACTGTAAAAAACTCTTCCACCACCATTTACTTAACTATACATAAGACTAAGCTTTGACAAAGTAAACAAGAACCTGATCAACAATCCCAGAATCTAAAGCACGAAGCAGAGCTTCTTCATCAATCACTCCACCACGAGCAACATTTACAATTCTGACACCTTTCTTCATCTTGGAGAATGCATCATCATTGAACATTTTTGATGTAGCAGGGGTTAGAGGCATGTGCAAAGAAATAAAGTCAGCAGCTGACAAAGCATCTGCAAACGACACCAACTCTACACCAACTGCACGAGCGCGGTCTGCGGGGGCATATGGATCATGAGCTATGACATGCATGCCAAGTCCCTTAGCTCGCCTTGCTACTTCAGAACCAACCTTCCCAAAACCCATTACAGCAAGTGTTTTTCCCACGAGGGATACACCAACATACTTGTTCCTCTGCCACTTCCCTGGACAAATCAAATTCTCCTCAACACTCAGAAGTCAAAATAATAACATCTAACAAGATCCTAACACCAACACAATTACACACAACGGATACACAAACAGAGACACAATTCAAAGAAATTGCTTCTTTCTTGCCTCTTTTAATTGCTGGCTTTATTACAGTATAAAGCTACCACCTTGACAATTTTTAAGCAATAGTGTGCCTCTGCACTAGCAAAAGCTAAAAGCCCCATAAATAATTAGAATTTCCAATTAAAACACTATAAGAAACTCCATCGAAACGCACCTATGTATAAGAATACTGGAACCGCTAGAAGAAATGCCTAAATAACAATAAATATTTAAACTTGGCGCAAGCAAACAAAATGAGTGTGTCGGATCAAGGGGAAGGGAATCACAAACCTGCTTTAACAGAAGCATCCGCTTGCGCAATATTCCTTGCCATTGCCGCAAGCAAGGCAATCGCATGCTCCGCAGCGGCAATTGTATTAGCTGTAGGCGCATTTACCACAAGACAGCCATGTTCTGTAGCAGCAGATAAATCAACATTATCAATCCCCACACCAGCCCGACCCACAACCTTGAGCCTGCCAGCGGAGGATTCAAACACCTCGCGAGTAACTTTGGTGCCACTCCTCACAATCAAGGCGTCACAAAGGGAGATCTTCGTGCACAGCTCTTCCGGACTCAAGTTATAAGAGCAATCAACATTGGCGAAACTTTTGAGCAGCTCAAGACCAGCGTCGCCGAGTTTCTCTGCGACGAGGACGGTGGGCTTCGCGTCCATCATCGAAGCAAGTACTATAAAGGTTTTGGGTTTCTGGCGTCCAGGTAAGAGGACCCGCGAGGGGAGAGACAGGCGCCATGAGGGAGAGGAGAGAGAAAGGTCCTTGTTTGGGGAGAAAGCGGGTCTCCATGAAGACGTTGCAGCCATTGTTGGTACTTGGTAGCTCAGTGTGCTTCTGATTCTTTATCAAGAGACAACCCGTTGAGAATTTAGCGAGGGTTTGGGTGTGCGCGGATGTTCATTCGTGGTTAAATACTTAGTTGTTTGATTTTTTTTTTTCTTCAAAAAAAAATTATTTATTTAACTGTATTTTAAATATACACTTTTATCATAAATTTTAAAAAAAAATTAATTTTTAATTTATCATATATCTAATTAAATTCATCTAATACTAAAATTAATATCAATTTTTACATTTTTATATATATTTATAATAAAAAAATATAATAAATATATCATTTTTTGTGCAATTAGAAAATTCCTAAAATAAAAGGAAAAACAGCATGCGGTCCGCACACTGAATATTGCGAGACCAAATGCTGGAAAAGGTTTTTGCAGCCATTGATTTGAAATTGAATGTGGCACTTTGCAGCCACAGCCCATTGGACAGGCAAAAGTGCTCGAAAACCTTCCAAAGGCTAACATTCAATGTGCCATGAGTGAGGACAAAAGTGCTCGAAAACCTTCCAAAGGCTAACATTCAATGTGCCATGAGTGAGGACAAAAGTGCTCGAAAACCTTCCAAAGGCTAACATTCAAGATGCCATGAGTGAGGGGATTCTAATACTGTATGGTTTGATATTAATTTTTATTTAATTTTATTTTTATTTTGATTATATAATATAAGATAATCATTTTTTATTTTTTATCTCACTTTATTTTTTGAATTCAAAATTTTTTATATTCAACGAAAAAGAATAATTACTGTATTATTTAAAT